ATAGTTGTCGGGCAATTGTTGGAGATTCCAAAAATAATATTATATACAGAGTGTTCCATTTGAAAAATCAAAGTTGCTACTGCTTTCTAATAGAAGCGGCAACACCGCATTGTCGAAAATATTTTAGTTGGCTAGAGAATGTCTGAATATGCCCTTCATCAAATTTTCAAAGTGATCCGTTGTCTGGTTCACCAGAAACGTCTAATGTGCCATCCACCGTGAATCAGCCTGTATATACATACCAAAACAATTATGTTAATCAAAAATAACCTGAAATGGAATAATAGTGAAATAAAATACAAGTAAAAATAGAACGATTGAACCAAATATAAAGAAATTAAAATGAAAATAAAAATAAAAATTAAGAGATTCCAAGCCACGTTAGTTCACGACGTTTCGATTGTTAGTATCTACAATCTCGTCTTCTTCGAGTACTTTCACCTATCCTCTTCCATTTTTTCCGCTTCACTGGATCAGTGGGAGATGACCGTTGGGCGGGAGTTGGCCATTTTTCGCTTGATGATAGGTTTCCATATTTTGCAAAGCTCTACGCTAGCTTGGCTGAATACGTTGTTGGACAGCATATATGTGGCTTCCATTAAATTTTCTCCCAAACCAATGTTCCTTTCTGTGTATGATCTCAGCTTGAGACCACTCGATTTTGTGTTGATGAGTCCAAACATGGTCTACTATTCCTGATTTGCTGGTTTTCCCTCGCTTTGTGTGTTTCTTGTTCTCGGCAATGCGATCATTCAATGGCGTCTTAGTTTCACCAATATAGGATTTTCCGCACTCACAGGGTATCCGGTAAATGCAATTCTTGGAATCGCAGTTCGCGTTTGGTGGCCTGGTTGTCCTGAGGCTGCTACGGATAGTGTTACCGGATCTGAAGCAGGTTCTTGGAACCAATTCTTCTCATCCTCTTCTATAATCCTCTGATGTAGGGAAGTGCAAGCACTGGTTGTGACGGCATCTCTTCCTTGCGAGGCTCCTGCTGTCTTTTATCCAAAGTCTTTTCTACCATCGCTTTGGAGTAGCCGGCTTTTCTCCCGGTTCGTGTATGAAACCTACTTCTTTGCATGATCTACATAACTTTGTATGGAGTTGGTACTTATTTTGAAATTGATTGCTTCCTTCCTTTCTTTGGAAGATTTCCACAGTTTTTTGTATAAAGCTGAAGAAGTATTAAGCCAAAAGTTCTCGTTCGCAAAAAATACTGTCTTTTAACGCGCGTTTCTCTAATCAAACTAATCCATAAGCTATATTGATGTTAATATAATTTCTATCATATTGTTATTTGCTACCGAAACCGGCCGTATGAATAAAATTAACTAGTGGTATTTAGAAAAAAGTGTTTTTATTCCTTTCATTAAAGTTATCATGAAATCCCACAATATAAACAAGTCATCCATCACACATATAACATTTTTCTATTTTCTAACAGTGATTAGGTTCGTAAAAGGGTGAACAATAGATCTTATTTCAGATTTTTAGATTTTGAAGGTGTCTGAAAACTTGTTCTGAAGTTTAAAAATCGAAGAATACATGTGTAATGAGATCTATGAATGGCGATGACGGTCCCATTCCTAACAGCTCGTTGTTCACACTCTAACGTATTTACAATAAAAAAAATTGAAATTAATTAATTGACTCTCATTATGTAAGGTAATGTTTCGACTAAATGCATATCAAGTATTGATGTATCGTAGGAATTAGTTAGTATTCGTGATCTCCTGATGATGCTCTCTTGCATATTTTGTCGAACAAATTTACATCAGCTGGAGATGATTGTGACCATAGTGTCAATTGATTGAAAAAAAGAAAATTGATTTAATCAATTCTGACCATTCTACACAAAATATTATTTTTCTTTCCTAACAGTTATACCACTCACACTATTTTACTAAAGTTATGGTAATGAAGAATCATTTATGGTAACCTGAGAAAAAACAATTCGCGGACTTTTGAACCACATTTACCTCAAAATTTTACTCACCACAAAATGGTATTCCTTCTGGCATCCACAAGCCATTTTCACAAATTCTTCTCGAAGGACCTAATAACTCGAAACCTCTCTCACAAGAGTAGGTTGCCACAGCCCCGGGGCCCAAATCCTCATCCGAAAACACCACTGACGAGTGGGCTGGGGCACCTGGGAAACGGCAGCCTGATGGAGATTGTCCATCAATTCCTGTCAAAAAAATCTATATGTTAGGATATATGTATAAGTCTTAAAACATTCATATCGTTACGAATTTATGAAAATTGTTTTAATTAATGACTAAAGTACCCGACGTAGTATCAAAACAATCAGTATGCTAGTCAATAGATCAATGAGTATATAATCATCCAGACCCCAAGAATATACATAATACTCACAACACATTCAACATTTTCGTCAATTTTTCGTACCCATATGAATGATCATGAATGTACGAGGTCTGTTCAAAAATTGGGTGAATTTTCATTTTTCTCAAAAAATATTTATTTATTCATCAATTTCTATTATGTCTCTTACGAAGTAGCCTGATACGCACTTTTTGGTATGTTCTTGAGCTCTCTCAGCGACTTGATTTTCATCTCTCAATCGTCGCAAAACGCCGTCTTTTCTTCAATCTTGGGAAAAGAAAAAAGTCGCACGGGAGCAAATCAGTTGAATACGGTGGCTGAGGCATGATAACGGTGTTGTTTTTGGCCAATAAATTACGAACAAGAAATAACGAGTGAGCAGGTGCAACTGTGAACATATGTTCAAGACGAAAGTACCGACATGAAAAATAAAAAAAAATCGCCAATCGAATGTACGAAGCCCTCGAAATTTCAACATTCACATAATTTTTTGAAAAAACCTCTTATTGTTCCACGAAAAGGTCTGTGTAACTCATTACATGAAGGAATGAGTAGTTGTTTCTAATAGATTATTTCTTCTTTGTTTGAATATGAAAGAAATATACAGGGTATTCATTAAAAATGCGGCAAAAATTTAAGGGACTATTCCTTGGATATTTTGTCCTTTAATGATTTTTAATAGGGTGCTTGGTTTCGAAGATACGGAGCGAAAAAGACAATAACAATTTATTACCAAAAATTACACGTATTCTGAAAAAAGGTTGATTGGGTAACAGAATCAATTTTTTTTCTTAAAAAAACAGAAAAATTATTGTGTCACTAAACTAGTTAACCTATTACACGTAATGTTTCTTAATCAACAAAAACTGTTGAAAACGCATATGCAAGAATCAAAAAAATGCGGTACATCGAAAATTATTTGAAAATGTGGACATGAGAAAACTTTGTAAGATAGGCACCGCGTTTGGTCACACTCAAGCAAAAACAGTGTCGTAAAGATGTTTCAATTGAGTGTTTAGCGAAATTTCACAACAACAAAGCAGAATTCTTGCGTCATTTCATAACCACGGATGAAACATGTGTCCATCACTTCACATCCGAGACAAAAGAACAATCAAAACAGTGGACTCTACAGAGAGAACCAGTTTCAAAGAAGGAGAAGACCATTTCATCTGCAGGCCAGGTCTTGACATCGGTTTTTTGGGATACTCGTGAGATAATTTCCAGTGACTATCTTGAAAAATGTAAAACTGTTAACGTCGAGTATTGTGCAAACTTATTGCAACGTTTGGATGGATAAATCAAGTAAAAACGGCTGCATTTGGCTTACAAAAATGTTGTTTCACCAAGACAATGCACTAGCTCAAGTATTAATTATTGAAATAACCAAAATTAACGAATTAAAGTTTGAATTACTACCTCATGGACCCTATTTGCCAGATATAGGCCCCTCGGACTATTTTCTGATCCCGAATTCGAAAAAATGACCCAGTCGTCAAAGATTTTCCAGTGGTCAAAGATTTTGGCTACTAGACAGTTCTTATTATAAAAACGGCATCGAATTTATTGAACGTTGCTGGAAAAACTGTATAGCGGTGCAAGGAGTTATGTTGAGAAATAAATACATTTTTTTCCAAACATTTTGGTGTTTTCTTTGTTGGGCTGGTTACTTCTGAGACCACTATTACAATTTTGCCACTATCCAGATTTTTCATCAAGTAGTTTAGCTAACTATGATCTGTTACTTAGGAGCTGTTCAAAATACACTTCTCTACAGATATGACAATATACGTTAATTCTTTGGATTTACGTTTCTTAGAGTGGGGTTCATTGGTAATTATTCTTGTCTTGTTCCATTCAACTCAATGTTTACCGTGTGATATCAAAATGTGTTCTGACAATTTTGATCCTGTTGATTGTCTATTTATGATGTAATGTGGATGTTCATTCTCACGCATTTTTATTGGTCTCGAAGTTTCACCAATATACCTTTTACCACAAAAACAAGTTATCTCATGAATGCAATTTTTTGTTCTCCATTAAAATTTTTATGTTTTCTCAGGTTCTGAAAGGTGAGGATACCCAAATAAAGTTCATAAAAGTATTTGAAATTTTTGAGTACTATTATTCAAAATGACAGATATGTTGTTAGGTAATTTTAAAGAATCCACTCAAACCCTTCTTTTACTATCATTCAGTACAAATAAACACTAAGTGCATTAAACAAAATAATTATAGGTACATAAATCTCCAGGAATTGTGGAGACCAGTGCTAAATACAATAAAACTGCCGAAATTTCAGATAAAACGCCTCTTACGATATATGAACTACTGAAAGGATGGTGGCGAACAGATAAGTCGATGAAATATTATATATGACGTCAGACAATCCGTACATACCAGATTCCCAGTCAGACTAATCGCCTAATATTTTCGTGGGTCTGAACGATTTGAACGAAAGAAGATTATATAAATTCTTGAGAAATTCCCCAAACAACGGATTGAGTTCTAAGTGGGTTTATCTTCAAGGTATGCTCACGTCCAATAAGCGTCCACGAAATAATACACGACAGAAATGTTTATTAGGAGTTATTACGAGAATAGGAGTGAAGACGAAGGTTTTTTGCTTGTTTCAATAAAGGTTCAGATTTTAGGTATTTTCATATGTTGAAAAACTTTGGAGGCAATCGAATAAAAAAGATAATACCAAGATTTGAGCCCAGAATAGTATATCAGTTCCTGTTGTTGAATATATCAATGAATCATGTTCAATTGTTTCCGATGACTTTACTAAATATTCACATATGTTTTTGTAGCTCTATATCTCGATGAATATTTTTTATTCTACTGTGTTGTGGTATATATTGATCGATAGAGAAAAATATACCTTATACGTCGATGAATCCAAATTGAACTGAAGCGCTGCCGAAACAGACTCAAAATTAACCAACAAGTTAAATACTATAATCGCACTTTTACCAAAAGAAATGGTATAGTTTTATTTCCTCTCTCAGATATAATGTTTAGGCGTATTCTCAAAATGACTCGAACAGTTAAAATGTTCAAACAGTGTAAGTGACAGTTTTGTAGCCTTGATGTTCAGGAGAGGGGGGTAATTCTCAACTAATCTCATTCGAATCCGTTAGCTACTCGTATTCTCATTCACATCCTAGCGGATACAAATAAGATAATCATTTAGATTTCATTGTTCATTTTGGTATCTAATAATCTCGTCAACAAAAATTTGTTTGATTGATAGCCTCTTCACTTTATAGAAATTCATATTGAGTCTAGGATAAATTAACTGTTCTCTAAGTAAACTGACACTTTACTTGAAAATGGTTTAACAAACCGAAACCACATCCCATGTACCAACATTTCAACAGAAATCAAAACTGAATGAATATTTCGAAATGGAATTTCGAAACATTCAATTTCGAGGTATTTCTGCCCCGTCCCCAGCAGGGAAGTTTCGTCCACACTTGGGGCTAAGCACTTTGCTTCTGGGTAGGATCTTTTCTGTACTGACGAGAGGTAATACCTCGAAACTAGTGTCTGCAGGTGATCTTCTTGAATAATTTCATCATGGTTCTGCTGGGTATCTTGCATAACCTCTGGGTATTTTGCATGAATGTCTGTCAGATATAATTCAATATCCAGCATGGTATTAGCTGAGGAAGTAATTGTTTTTCTGCAGGTATTTACCAGAACCTACTGTGCAGGTAGTTGAGAAAGAGGAATGTTTCGAAATTCCATTTCGAAATATTCATTATCTAGTATGTCTGGTATCTGTCCGCGATACAGTCTTCAGTTTCAATGAATTATCAAATATATATATAACTTGTCATATGTTCGTGATAATTTCGATATTGATACTCGCGTTATATACAAAGTCCAACTTCCTTTTTTTGAAATATTTTCATTTCGAAGCATCCTTTTTTTCTTGATATTCATAATATAGTATTCAAGATGTGACCCACTTTTTAATACTCCCAATTGGGAGTAATTATTCTTCAATCATTCTGCTCATCTTTATAGCGGTAATATATATTCCTTATGAAAATTTTCCACGGGCCATGGCATCAAGCAATACCGATGCCGTTTAATATACCGATTGTTACAGATTCTTCTGTATTTTTCTAGCAATAAATCATAAAGACACATAACAGCGAACCGTTATGAAATAAGTGTCAACAAGATTACTTCGTGCTAGAACGCAGCTTAAGGAGCAAGATTATTAGAAACAGTCACTTTAATTCAGTGAGTAATTGGAATAACGATATATTATTTTTTGCGTTATGATGATCCAGCGTCTTTATCTGGTCTACTGGTGCGAGAAACGCTTTTCAGTGTTATACCCTATATTTGTACGGAAATGGTTTTTTCCAAATCGTCTCAGAATGCTTCTCTGATATGTGATTTCTAATTTTAAAGATGAATAAATGATACATCCAGTTTTGAACTATTAAACTTATTTAAATCCATAGAAAGAGATATGTTTTCCAAATTCTGACAACTATTTCAGAGAATTTTTTTTCATTTTTTTGTCATTTGGAAAATGATTGGAGTCTCTTAAAATGTCATATTGTCCACATCTACATCTACATCTCATAGAAACTGACTTCAAAAGGAACAGTATCTACAGGGCACAGAGGGATGATTGTTGGTTAGCCGTTTTTTTGGGAAATAATAGGATTTATGATCCTCACAATTGGCAAAAAAGTTTTTTCGATATGCTTTATCGAAATAATTTCCTACTTTCACTTCTGGTTTTACCGAAAGTTGATACCGAGTCCTTAATTCAAATGTAACACCCTATATATTTTCACATTTTTGAATACC